TTCTTAATAAGTAATATATGATTGATCGGACAAAATTTCCCTGGAAGCACACGACTGGTTTCGCGGTCCTTTGCTCTCATCAGGCACACGTATTCGGTAATCGTTTGTCAGTTCATTCATCTACTTGTATCCGGCAAATGTATTTTCGTCACAATCTTATTTGCAACACCGAGTGNAATCAATGCTATGATTCGATGTTTTGTAAGTGAATGAACTGACAAAAGATTACCGGATACGCATGCATGATGAGCGCCAATAACCGCGCAACCGGTCTTGCGATTCCAGGGAAATTCTGTCTGGTCAATCATATACTGCTTATTGTGAAATATTCTATAGAGACACTCAAGTCGCGTTGGTTGCGATTAGTAGCATGTAACCCACTTACAGAACATCGAGTCATAGCATTGCTTCTTCAATGGACTGGCTCTAAGAAAGCTGTCTATCTAAAAATCACTCGATGTTGCAAACAAGGACCGGGGATTGGAATACCCAGCAGAATGAAATGGAGGTTGTTTGTTTCACTGTACACTTTTTGATGCTTTTTGCGTCAGTTTATCGTTTTTTTGTTGGGCACGGGGTTTCAACAGGCAGACCACACAGCTAGAAGGTACTCCGTTTACTATGCACGTTGCTCCCTAAGAAGTGCCAAGTGGTGCTGCAGGACTGCGTGTCTTCTATAGATGTTCTCTGGTTCTTATTGATCTTGACTTAACTGTGATCAATTAATTAATTCACCTACACTGGTAGTTGCGTGATGAATGACTGTAGCATTGTGGAGAAGCTAACCACCCACACTTCCCAGGCTCGAGCGTGACGTTTTCCCGGAACTAGAAAGATCGCGTGCATTGTGCGTTTAGTTCTGGCACCGGAAATTTATGAATTTCCGAGCAGGATAAATCTATCGCGTGGCATATTTTTAAAAAGAAGAACAAAAAACAACAACAACAACAACCGCATTTAGGATAGAGGTAGGGAGTTTGTAATGAATACTGAACTGAAGGCGCCCTGTGTTCGGGAATGATTCGGTAAAAACACTCGTTCACATGTTAAATTCAAATCAGTAATGTTTGCCAGTTAGGACCGGCATTACGCGTGCCCAGCTGTTTTCTGCCACTCCGCATCATATTCGTTATTGTTGAATTTAGATTGGAGGTCAGCAGATGATGTGGAAATCAGGAATAAAGAAATAACCGGAACAGTTAATTGATTGTTTCCCATTCTCACCAGTTCGAGTCCAAACAATTCTAGCTCTGAGATGGAGATGTAGAACAGTATGGTTCTTTCTTAGCAGATCAGAATGCTAGAAAAAGGTATGTCTGTCCACTGTGTACTCTGTGTACTATCCAACTAACTATCTTACACATTCTTACCTTACCTAGCACGTATTGTGAGCTTGTCATCGATTGACGAAATTCGTTCCACTGCATTTCGATGTACCATGATGATGTTTTGTTTTGACATCTCATCTGTTGGGCGACAGACAATGCTATCTAAACGAAAGTTCTAATACCCTCATACATAGTAGTGGTGGTGGTTCGGCTTGCGGAATATGATTGTTGTTGTTGTTGTTGCTTTTTTTGACTTGCTTGGCATCCGAACAGACTTAGATACACTCCGTATTGCGGATGTTTGTCCATCTGTCTGTGTGTTCGAACTATGACACTTGTTTGATCCNGGAAGCATTCGATTGGTATTATCACATAGTAATCAACAGATTCGATGAAGGACTGATATCACACTGAAAACATCATCATCATCATCATCATCATTAATCATCGAATACCAAACCCCGGAATAGTATGTCATAAAGGAATGAAGACTTTCATTGATGCTTTCCCCGGAAATCAGGTTAAGCGATATTTCTGGAGCAATTTCAGAGAATGGTGTATTTTTTCTCGCCCTACTCGCGTGTTTCACACAATCTGGATTTAAATAGACGCATATGATATAAAAGGGTTGGGGGTGGAGTGAAGTGGAGTGGAGTGGCTTTATCCCTTTTGTTCCTCTCGTCTAATATCCTTTGTAAGAGAGGAGAGTCAAAATGAATTGCCTGCTGTGCACACACACGCACACACACACACGCACGCACGCACATAATACACAGTGGAAGTAATTCACATTTAAATTCAAATACGTTTTGAAAATCAATTGGCAAGTCTGCTGATATTTGAATTAAGGGTGGGGGTGGGTGGGGGATTCGGTTTATCGATTGCCCGTTTTACAAACACAACGTTCTATGGTATGTGAATAAATTGATAACAACCGTCACGAACCTCATTCCGGTGGCGTCCGCGGTGGCTACCATTCTCAAACTGCACAATTCGTTACACTCGAGATAGCGGAGCGGATCGTGTATCGTAGAAGTATGATGAGTATGGCCTTGAACGCATAGTATGAACGTGTTTTTAGTAGCAACAGCGCAACTACATCATTAACACCAATGCTTTACTTTTTCCCTCATTGTCCACCATCTCTCCTTCACACCACATTGCCCTTCTGTTCTCTCCACAATCCGATCTATGCACTGCACACTGAACAGTGAAAAAGGTTGCTACGTGGACAAACAGTGGCAAACTATTCGACCGGGTGATTTTGTCCGCCTACACACGAACGAGATGATCCCGGCCGATGTGCTCCTGTTGCACTCGTCCAATGTGGCCGGAATTTGTCACATCGAGACGGCCAATTTGGACGGGGAATCGAATTTGAAACAACGTGAGGTGATCGAACGACATGCGTGCAAGGTTAGTTCGTCTGTGCTGTTGCATGCTTTGTTCATCCCATGAGCGGTGAGAAGGGGCGTGGGTGTGGACTCGCCTGAGTACAACATCGGATGACCCATTGAATGCAGCTCGATTTTGGATCACAGTCGAGGTCGTACATACAGTTTAGGCGACTCTGTGAAATGATACGTTTCTCTGGAAACGCGTAATAGGTTCATTTTGAGAACATAAAATTGGCTGAGAAGCTCGTTTTCAGTACAGTTCAGTAATCATGCGAATTGGTTTAAATAGAAATCAGTGAATAATAGGAATGACAACACTTTTTGTTTTGTGTTGTTCACTGTACACTTTTTGATATTTTTGTGTGTGTTAATTTATCGTTTTTTTGCGGGACACGGGATTTCCACAGACAGACCGTACAGCATTCGCGCCATTGACTTCTAGGCTGAGCCATACCTCTCAGTGTCTCTACCAACAACAATCCTCATCCCTTGGGCCCCATTCTAGAAGGCGGGTTGCATCAACCGAAGCCATAGCTTAGACCAGATTCTTCATACCTATACGCCATGTCATGGTCTGACCACCGCGACGCTTCTTCCACCCTCGCCTGACACATGCAAAGAGATCA